TCCCTACCCTGATGCTCGAAAGCCATACGAGCCCTGTGGAAATAGAGCCCGGCCTTATCCAGAGTGCTCTAACCACACTCCAAAAGATCTTCGGGAGCTTCCTGGGCGGCGAAGTCCTGAGGAACTTTGAGATTCAGGCCACACCAGATAGAGGACGCTGTCTGGCCGAAGAGCATCATCGACTCCTTGCGGGGACCAACCCCGGAAAATTCAATCAGACCAAGGGAGGACCCATTGGTTTCTGAGGGCACAGAAGGACGACCGTCGTCAGAACCCTTAGCACTCTGGACATCCTCATCTCAGAGGCGACGGACGTCAGAATTCCGCGGAGGAGAAACGTGGGGCTTATTCCGGGGGAATGGGCTTCCGCTTGAGGGGACTCCCGGGCTCACCATCAGAGTCATCGGCCACTATGATGGCCCTGGAAGCAGTACCCTCGACACGCGGCCTCTTGGAAGCGCCGGCCTCCGAAGTGTCATCAGCCCGTGCCCTGGTCACCCGAGATTCGACCTTGGGGACGAGCGGCTTCTCGGGTTTGTCATGGCCCTTGTGCTCACGGCCAGCGGCAGTCAAAGTGTTGTTGGTACAACCCATGGTGGCCGTAGATGGGAAAACTCCTGCACAAAAGGAACCAAGACGTTCAGAGCCATAACAGCGAAGAGATGATAAAACAATACAAGTACAAACGGACGCACGTAACCCAGCCCGAGCTTTAAAAGGCTCGGCCACCAGCAATCGGAGGTTCTGGATGCCAAGTCCAGCAATGCGCTTGGCATATCCGAGCTCCTCGTCCGTCATGGGTGGCGGAATCGTCTTCACCGGGTAGGCATTCCACCGGTCAGAGAATGGCATCGGTGAGCCTACTCCGGCCAGGAAGAAGCGTTCTTCCCAGCCGTCCGGATTCCCGGCGTTATTCGAAAACAGGACCATGGACGGACGGGCGATCAGGGTCAAGTAACCCGTACGTCCGAAGGGGGACAGCCGGAAGAAATGGTGCAGCAGATCCACGGTGGGGGTCACGCCGACGCTATGGCATCTAATTATGAAGCCGGCAATAATCCTATAGGCGGCAGGGACGAACTGCGCAGGCACTATCTTAAGGCTTCTGAAGAGCTCCAAGTGGAAACCGTGCAAGGGAAAGTTCAGCCCGGCTATCACCGAATCCAGGTGGACCACCACGTAGCCGGGCAGATGGCGCATGGGGTTGCGCAGGCGCCGATCGTCATAGGTCTGTGGGGGATAAAACCACTGGCCGATCAGACGCTTATCAGCATTCGTCAGGCGTTGGTTTTGACGCCAGACGCACGAGAAGCTAAGGCCTATGTAGCACTGATACCGGTACGCGGAAACGCGGAAACGCGAAAACGGGTACGGGGATACGTCATAACAAAAAAAAGTAGGATACCGATACGGGACCATATTTATAAATATTAAAAGTTATGGGGGTGTATTTAAAAATATTAAAAGTTATAGGGGCCTATTTATAAATATTAAAAATAGATTTTTTTTGAATATATATATATATATATATATATATATATATATATATATATATATATATATATATATATATATATATATATAGTAGTCTTCCTGTCAGGACCGTCCGGAAACGGACCTCCGTACGGACCTCGACGTTTGGGCCCCTTCCCAGTGGAATTTTTTGATGAAATTTTTTGGGAAAGTTCTTCATCAAGTCTAGTATATCCATACCAAATTTCAGAAAACAATTCAATCGGGAAGGCAATCAAATGATTTTTGGAAGTTAACTGCGCACTTTATATACATATAAAATGCAGTTAACTTCCAAAACTCATTTGACAGCCTTCTTAATGGAATTTTTAGCTGAAATTTGGTATGGATAAACTAGACGTGGTGAAGAACATGATCAAAACATTTCATCAAAAAATTCCACCGGGAAGGGGCCGAAACGCCGAGGTCCGTACGGAGGTCCGTTTTTGGAGGTCCTAACATGAACTTTCCTCTCTCTCTCTCTCTCTCTCTCTCTCTCTCTCTCTCTCTCTCTCTCTCTCTCTCTCTCTCACACACACACACACACACACACACACACACACACACACACACACACACACATATATATATATAGAGAGAGAGAGAATAGAGATCAAATACAAACTATTTTTAATTTACAAAGTACAAACTCATCTTGACCGTCTGATGAGTTGATCCAAAGGACATAAAGGCAAGGTGACATTTTTGTAATAAAACCCAACTTTTTTAGGGTGCAACTCGTTTAACATTAATGTGCAACTGCCATTTTATGGTTCAATATTATGTATTACTTTGAACCTCAATATGCAATACAAAGAACGTCAAGGTGCATCGTACAAATGTTTGTACAATAAGCACAATTTGTACTTGATCTTTCCCCTATATATATATATATATATATATATATATATATATATATATATATATATATATATATATATATATACAAAAATGATCATGTCCGAACGTTTGGACAGGATCCTCTGTCCGAACATCCCCGTTTGGAGCCCTTCCCGGTGGAATGTTTTGATGAAATTTTTTGAGCATGTTCCTTATCAAGTCTAGTTTGTCCATACCAAATTTCAGCTCAAAATTCGACCAGGAAGGCATTCAAATCATTTTTTGAAGTTGACTGCGTTTTTATATGTATATTTTGACGCAGTCAACTTCAAAAAATGATTTGAATGCCTTCCCGATCGAATTTTGAGCTGAAATTTAGTATGGACAAACTAGACTTGATGAGGAACATGGTCAAAAAAATTCATCAAAAAATTCCACCGGGAAGGTCCCCAAACGTCCATGTTCGGACGGTGTTCGGACCAGGAATGTTCGGACCTGAACATTCCTCTATATATATATACATATAATATCCTATGATGTCTACCCATTCATTGCATTGAAGCATTTTCCTTTTTCAAAATACTTAGTAATAAATTCATAATATTTCTCATATACACTAGTGCATCTCGAAATATATTTCTCATTAATTTAAAATGAGAAATAAGTCAAACAACTACAATCTTGAAATTAAAAATGCAAGTACCCAATTCAGAGTATGAGTTAATGACTTAATTCGGATATAGCCATATAGGCCCATTATTTGATTACCAAGTAAAATGTAATTTTAGATTTTTCATTTTTTTTTAGAATTTTATTAAGTAAGTTTTGGGATTTTTTTTTAAAAAAAGTTGATACGGGTATCCGTCACGATACGAGTATCGGAAACTTTTAAAAAATTGCAGATACGGCCCGGGAACGTACGGTACGGGTGTCCTAGAGTATCGGATACGGGAACGTATCGGATACGCCGATACGCTACCCTAGAGAAGTATTTGTGCTTCATAGGCTAAGGCTATATCGGGGAGGCCGCGGCGGCATTCCCCGCTCATAGTATTCTAAGTCATCGCCGGAAGAACAGCCATCGTCGAAACGGGTTTCAGAAGACATGGCAACGAACGGTACCTTGGAAATCCGAGCTACGACACGGCTTGAAGGAAATCTAGAGCAAGGGAGCAGAAATTGGGAACCCTAATCCAGAGGGAGAACCCGGCATTTATAGGAGAAACACCGATGGGGGAACCAACGAAGGGTTGACACGTGGCAAGGAGCGTGTTCCGGCTCACGCGCTGTGCGTGGGGCGGAAGCGTAATGATGACATTTCCTCGGAAAATGAACCGTCACTACAGCAGCCGTCACCTCGTTTCCTGAACCGTCGACAGCTGTCAAGCACCATGACCACGAGCGTACGCTTCCTCCGGATGCAATAAACACAAGTATCGAGACACGAACGTCTACTTCGAGGGACTTCATACTTCCTTATGTCCTGTGCATGCTCAGGACATCAGAAGTGGGGGAGTTGTGTTGGGTTAATGGCCCAACACAAGGTCCGGCCCATTCACCCCTTTCACCAGACGTACGTCCAGTTAGAACACGAGGCTAGCCTGGCAGGCCCATATTCCTCCAGAAGGGACGAACGTCTGTAGTCGGGGGTTTAGGCTCAACGGCCCATCTCGACGAGCGTCTATGCAGGGACAAGGAGCAGGGCCACGGGTCACCGGACTGACGACGAACGTCGTCAGAGCAAGCCCGTAGCCATCGGAGGCGGTCCAGTCCCCACTTGGAGTGATCCGGCCCGCTTCCCGGGCGGACGAACGTCCCCACTGATTACGCGGGAAACCTAGATTCTGGCGGGAAGTGCATTTAATGCTGAAGATTTGGTGGTTGGGGCACCAGCGATCCACAGGCTTTCACGTCAGTACAGCCACCTGCCCATTGGCGGGTATAAATAGGAGCATTTATTTCATTGTAAAGGGTTGTCAACTTTCTATTCTTAGCACTCTAGCTATAACATTCTGACTCGCAGCATTTCTACTGCCTGGTAGGATGAACGGCCGACGGAGCCTTAGCGAAAAGTATTGTATTAGGGAGTTATTAAGAGATAATAATACCTAATCATTTACTTGCTACCTCTTGTTTCTCTTTAGTCCATACCATCTGCTTGTTGGGCTAGTTTACTCACACATACTCCACTCGAAATCCTTGGGCTTACGTGTTGGACCCGAGGGTTGAAAGAATAAACCTCAACAGCAAGTATCTTTTGTTCTCTTTTTCAATCATCTTTTCTTCATGTGTGTCATTTGTGAATTTGTCGCAATGGCATTAATCACAGGATTCTTGGTTATGCCACATCCTCATGAACATATATTACTGTACATTATGGATTTTGATAATTTTTACTTCGTATTTATTTAATTTTGAGTCGAAATTTTTGCTTCTTTATTTCTCACAAATCCGTGAGTTATGATGCTGATGGAGTATATGACCCAGGAACCCCCGGCCCACAGACTCCCACTACTCCAACACAGACCCAAGAAGCGATTAGTGCTGTCTGTGTTTCTGTGTTTGTTTTGGAAGTGTTCGGATCATAGGGGCCTTGGATTGATCCAACAAAACTAGAAATCCTACTGTAGAAAAACGATTTTGAACTCCATAGCCATTAACCACGAAACAAGCAATTTATTTCTTGTCTCTTCCGCAACAAGAAAGAACAGGAAGACATGATTTTCATCCAACTCCAGTTTTTGCATTGTCATTCCAGAAAGGGTGATTTGCAATCAATCAATTCCATAAATGTACAATAACGAGAGTGATTTTCTCTGATCTTCAATTTTGCTTGACTTCGATCAGTAAAAGTACCCGAGGACTTGACCACCAACATTTTGTCGAATTGCTTCCTCATGATCCAAAACTCCATTTGGTGTTGTTATCACAACATAGCCCCACTGCATGGCAGGAACATGTTAGCCTTCAAAACAAATATGGTGAAATGTGTAAAAGAAAAGGCAACATTAACATGGCAACATTAATGGGACTGGTACTCTATGAATTATGATATATGATAACTTTGCTTTGAGCTATGAGACATGAAGTACATAAATAAAAACATTAATAGCTATTGAGTTGTTAGTCAATTATGCATACAAATAGTTCAGTACCTATAGTGCATTGAGACCACTCCTTAAACCTGAATACCCAACCCAATGCATAAGGCCCGACCAGATAATCATGACATTCACCCGACTTATTAATAATAAAACTCAGTCTAATGTGCAATAAATCAGAAGAAAGAATGGACCTGACGGGTTGGAAGGGTACGTTTTGCGTAGCTCTCAATGTTCTGAGCCTTGATATCTTGTCTATGTGAGAGAGCACGACAATCAGTGACCCTACCCGTTAACTGGACAGATATCTTACCAACTCTATGGGGGTTCTGTACCTCAAAATCTTTAATATATCCTGAACATGAAGCACACTCATAAGATGTCCCGAAAGTAAGATAGGGGGGTCAATACTAATGCCTCCAAATGACAAAAAACATGTGTAGTAGATATCCTTTGAACAAAAGGGTGGTACTAAATCTGAGTGGACTTGCCAAATCAATATCATGGTGTATGTGTGACATAATAAAAGTTAGCGGATATACTTACGCTAATAGTGATACTTTATTTATTAAACTATATAGCGTACACGGACTAAATTGAACACAATCGGTCTGAGGGACTAAAATGAACAAAGTAATTTAATAGAGGGATACTTTGACCTGCATTGAAACAATAGTGGTGTGTGCATAAACACTAGACAGAAAGAAAACCAACCACGATACTTCATAATCTGAAGGAAATTAGCCATGACAGTAGATACAGGTTGAAGTTGAGCGGAAGCAAACCCTCTCTTCTCAGCATTCAACTACATGACCAAAGGCTTCAGAACAAAACAAACTCACCAAAATTTGGCTAAGTCCAAACTTCGACTAATACCTCATGTTGAAGGCCATTCCTCCGAAGGCACCCAAAGAAAATGCGGGGATACTCTAAGTCCAAATCAACAGAACTAAGCCCGAAGCCTGAAGGCATCCCCGTATCAAATGGCTATATACATCAAGGACAAATTCCTGTCGAAGGCTATCATCCTAGGAACTACAAAGACAAAATTCTCCTAAATTTCCTATTGGAGACCCCTCGGCTTACTGGCGAATTCATGGGGCTCACCCAACCGAGGGCTTGCCATATGGATTGTTGAACAAACCCGGGAATTTCCAAAGTCCACAGCAAGGAAGTTCCCTACAACGGGAGGCTCACTAAACCCCCTGCATCCGAAGGCTTACCACGACATATGTTGAAACATTGTGGGAATTTGGCTAAGTCCACAATTTGAGACCCCTCGGGAAGCCCATGACTTCAATGTTACTGGCTGGCTTCTAGCCGAAGGCAAACCTCCTACATGTTAAATGGAAGTTGAGCCACTTAAGGGCTCAACCATGACCGAGGGCTAGTCACTAGAACTATTGAAGAACAATCTCTAAATCTTTCTAAGTCCACAAAGGGAACCCTTCGGCTAAGCGGAAGTTACCCGAGGACTTATTCTCTAAGACCACAAATACTTAAAAAAAATTCTAAGTCCACAAACCTTTGGCCTTTCAACAAACACATGAAAGAAAACGAAGCACACATTCATACACACAGGCGAAGGGACGAAAGCATACAAGGAGATTAAAAACAGATAAGGATCAAAGCCATCAATAACAAAAGCCCGAAGGCACGTCATTCATTCAGGAAGAATTCAACCGCAAAAAAGTGTTTGTTTACATGCACGGCCGAGGCCGGAGACCTACAATCTATTACAAGGAATTATACTTAGGAAAAGTCTTAAGCTTTGGCATCTCCGACGACATCCTCTTTCGGCTTCGAAGTGGCTTCCTCCCCAGCTTTCTCTTCATCATCGCTGCTCTTTTGCATCAGCTCCGAGTCCTCAAGGTCTGGACGCTCAACGTCCGGAGGGGAACTCTAACATCTGGCTGCAGGGGAGGAAGGCCATATGCCGCCGGGTCAAACTCTTTTAACTCAATCTTCAGGTGCCTAGCCAGCCGTCGGTAGATCAGCTTCTGGGTGAAGAATTCACCACCATCATAATAATCCTTACCCTTCCGGGCAAGCCATTCAGCACCAGGACCACCAACCCAATCATTGACAGCAGCATCCACCACCGAAGACAGCCATTGCTTATGATCCCCGGCTTTCCACCCTCCGGCGACGAAGGCGGAAATCGCGTCTTTTTCAGCTTGGAGGACCGTCTCCTTTCTGGCATCCTCGGCCTTCTCAGTGGCAATCTTAGCCGCCTCGGCAGCAAATCTCTCAGCCTCAGCCTTCCCTCAGCCTTGGCCACCACCTTGTTGTTCTCAAGGATTTTCTGGAACGCCTCCTTTTCCAGCCGGAGGGTCTTCTCAGCTTCCCCAAGCTTCCTCCGATGGGCGACATTCTCATCATCAGACTTCTTAAGGGTCTCGTCCGACTGGGCCTTCGCAATCCTCAACTGCTCCGCCCCTCGGGCTTGCTCGGAAACAGCCAAGGCAGCATGCAAATAAACAAAGATCAAAGGAATCTTAGCATCTACACATATGACTGAAGGACCCCCTAAGGTCAAAGGCTCTATCATGGTGCTTATAAAATTTAAAGGAAAACGGAGTACAAGGGAGGCTCACCATGGTGCTATAGCTGACGACCTGGTAATCGAGGATTGCATCCTCCATTTGAGCCAGCACAGACTTGTCGGTCGAAGACATCACACCCCTCAAAAACTCGACGGGGTGCAACGTGCCTCGCATAACGCCGGTCCCCGCCTTGATGGGGAACTGAACGATCTCGGCGATGTTGGGCTCCTCACCAACATGAGGCCGGGGTGAGGGAGGGGGAGCGACAACCGGAGACCTCGAAGGAGAGCGCTCCTCAACAACAATGACGAGGGCATCCTTCTTCTCAGCGGCCCCTTTTTTCTTCCTCTTCTGCGGAGGCATGACGCCCTTCCCGGCATTCTTTCGCTTAAGCTCCTCCACCTTGGAACCTTCGGCATCAGCACCGCCGGCATCGATCTTCGAGGGCCCTTCGCCCGCCGGAACCTGGGTAGCATCATCTTTCTTGAAAAACTCATCGACGGGTTTCTGGGTCCCCGCCTCCTTCTTCTTCTTTGGCTCCTTAGCCAGCTTCTTCTTCAACGCAGCGTATGACCTCACGTCTATAACTTGGCCTGAAAAAGAAGAATACAATGGTTATATTGTGACAACGAAGAAGAAAGACAAAAAATTTCTAAGTACAGAATAAGAGAGCCTTTGGTGAGCACCTCCAGCACTTTGGTACCCCCGATCAATCACGGTGTACTTCTCGTCCTTTTCCCACATTAGTCGATATCGCCGGAAGCCTAACAAGTACAGCTCCTCCGGGAGGGTGGCTACCTTGATGGCAATAACTTTATCGAAACCCTCCGTCTTAGCAGTAAGCTTCTTTCCAACCCTGTCGAGGGCTGCGTTGCCCACCTTCGGATGTCTTTGGAAATGATCACGTAGGGTCCCCGGGAAGTCGGGAACGGATTCTCGGCCATCCGAATGTAGCAAAACTTCTTCTTCCAATCTTTGTGGGATGAGGGGGTCTCAGAGAAAAGCCTCCATTTCGGCACCTGCTGCAAATTGGCGTATCCCCCAGCATGGGAATGTCCCCCTGGCACAGGTTGGAAGAAAGGAAGAACTCATCCAACGTAGGATCCACCCCCCGGCTTCGGCAGAGAGACGGGAAGCCCGCCAGGTAGGAATGGCTGTTCGGTGTCAGCTAGCAGGGGGTCAACTTCACAAACCTTAGATACTCTAAAACGAAGGGGTGGGGTGGGAATCTGAGACCCAATTCAACCGAGAGCATGTGCACCGAGAAACACCCCTCGGGGGGGACTAGACAGCAGATCTTCAGGTCCTGGTTCAATGACTTGCGCCAGAGGGCCGACAAGGAACTGTGTCACTTGGTAGTCAAGGCCCGAAACCTTCGTCTTCACAACGAGGGCAACAATGTTCAAGTATGAATGCTCCTCAGTGTAAGGAATAAATGTAATTAGATTTTGATGATGCTAGGTTAGATTTGAATTTTAAAGTACCCCCTTATAGAAATTTTATATTAGAATTTTCCTTGTAAGTATTAGCATAGTCGTCGGATCAGAGATCCTCTTGGTACTTCAGATCAGAACTGCTAGGAGAACTGCTCCATGAGAGTTGCTCTTCAGAGAAGCATCAGAGCTGCTATGAGAATTGCCTTCAGAGTTGCTCTTGGCAATTTATGAGAGATGTTAGCTGAACTACAAGTCTGATAATCCATGAGAGCTGCTCATCAGGAAAGCATCATAGCTACCAGCAGAGCTGCTCATCAGAGAACTATCAGAGTTCGATGTAAAGCTTCATAAGAACTCAAATTCAGAGAAGAATCAGAGTTCCCTTACTAAGTTCATCAGAATCCAAGGTCAGAATGCCATCAGAGAATCTCATCAGACCTGGATGGACACTTAGAAGATTTCGAAGCTGCTTTCAACGGCCGTATAACTAACGGGAAATTCCCTAACGGCTAGGAGATATTTCATCAAAGGAAAGCATTTAATGCTCATTTAATGAGCCTGATACGCTGTGGAGTAATTGCAGATGATTGACCGAGATTCCTGGAGAATATTACACAACAATAGAAACCTGCCAAATATGCGGGTCCAACCGGTCAACTCCACAGTACGCGCATTCAATGCAGTTGTCTCCTCCTCCAACGGGCAGGCAACTCCCAGTATAAAAGGATACTCATGAAGAACAACCGGGTAACTTTTGCTCTCGAAATATTCAAACAAGCTCTCTTGAGATTCAAACTCCATATTCATCCTACAAGACAAAGCTTACGTTGGGAAGATTAAACTACTCAAACCCTTCAACCCCAACGAAGAGCAAAGTTCCTTCAGTTCTTCAACACTTCAAGATCTTCAACAACAAATCTTCTGTAACGAAGCAAGTTGGAGAAAAACTCTGTTTTTCAGAACATCTTTTGCAAAGAAGGGCGTCCAAGTAACTGCAGTAGTGAAGTGGTGATACTTCCGGGAAGCTGAGTGAAAGGACCAGTCATCAGGAAGCAGGACTGCATCCGAGGTGACTAGGCTTGAAGAAAACGTGGAGAACTTCTTAAGTGCTAGGGACTAAGGCATTGTAACTGTTGCTTTACAATCTTAGTGGAACAGTGGACTAGAGGAACGCGTTGTTCCTTGAACCACTATAAAAACCCTGGTGTCATTTACTTTACTGCATTTTATTCCTGCACTTAGGTTTCTAACTGTATAACTCTTAAAGACTTGGAATCTGTGTTCAGCAGATCTTGTGTTAAGAGTTATCAGAAAGGCATTTTGCCTTAGTACTTGTCTTGAGGCTATCCTGACTAAATCTTAATCCGCTGCCTGGTCCAGCTCTGACATCAGAACTCGACCATCTCTGTCATCATATTTGGACCACTTCTCATAAGTCAAGCTTTGACTTAGAGAAAAATTTGAAAAATCAGAACAGTCTATTCACCCCCCCCCTCTAGACTGTTCCCCACTCAATCGGGACCAACACTCAGGAATTCCCACTGGTTGCCCCACGTCAACCGCGGCCTGCTTCTTCTTTGGGGCGGCCTTCAGCTTACTCTTCTTCTTGCCAACGGCAACCCTAAGGGGTTCCGGACTAAGTGGCCGAGAGCTCCCGACTTCATCATCGTTATTAAGAGGCAACACAACAACGGTCACCTTCAGCCGTTCCCTCTCTTCCTCCTCTTCGGCGGTTTGAAGTGCGAAGGCCATCTCCTCATCCTTCGCCACTTGTTCGAAGTCCTCGGCTTCGGCCTCAGCACGAAGGTTGCTCTGCAACTCCCT